AAGGGGCTCTCAGCTCTCCCTGGAGCCTTCTCTTCTCCAGGTGAGCACCCCCAGCTCTCCCAGCCTGGCTCCAGAGCAGAGGGGCTCCAACCCTCACAGCATCTCCGTGGCCTCCTGTGGACTCATTCCAAGATATTTCCTGTGTTGGGTCACACCAACAGAGTCATGGAACACACCTTTAGTGATAACCAAAACTCTCCCATCACCACAGTAAAAAAGAACAACTTTTCCTGATACTATTCCTGACATTAATCCCTAAAAACTCAGCTCCAACACACCCTGATCCACAGATTTCCACGTGGTGTGGAGGAACAAGATGGGAAGAAGAACATTTCAGCAGAGATGGACTCAATATCTGATCCCTGAAGGAAAACCTTCTGGCACTGGACACTTGGAACTGTGTGAAAAATCCAGCATCACCCAACCCAAACTGCTTTTTGGGGTTAAATCTGGGCCTTCCCTCCTCCTCACAACAAGGGGCATGGGAATTCAAACAAAATTCCTCCAACTCAACCCTGAGAGGTGACTAAACAATTCCCAATACCTTTGCATCTGGTTTCCTGCTGTCATCCAGAGTCCCGAGTTCCTCAGGTCCCAGAGAAAACAAGGCCTCTGGAATGGGAAAGAAAAACATCTGTTTAAAAAATACAGCATCTGGGGAAAAGGGACAAGGGGGGAAAAGGGACAAGGGAGAGAAAGGCGGGAGAGAAGGACTGGCAAATATCTTTTTCAGGAATTGTAGTGATGGGATTAATAAAATTACCAACTCTAGACAGCAATAACTTCATTTATTTACACAAATTGTAACTTGTAAGAAAACTCAATGTTTCTAATACTTAAATTTTGTGCCAAACTCATTTAACAGCCCAACATCCTGGAATAATTTATTGAAAGTGAACTGTTCCTGAAAACCATCTTGAGTTCCCCGTGTTTCATAAATATCCAGCCATGAAAGTCTCCCTGAAATATCGCCCCAAATATGATTTTAAAGGTGGGTTTGAAGCCTTTACCTCTAAATTCTGGTGTGAAAAGCAGAGTCTGCAGCAGGGAATTGAGGTAGCAGGTCCCACCCTGGTTTTTGATCCCGCTGAGGTTGGTGAAATCCCTGGGAGCTGGAGGTTCACACTCTCTGGGCTTTGATGTCTTCCCTTTTCCCCAGTGGTTGTTGGAAATGAAGGAAAAATCCTCGTCAAATAAGTCCCCAAACATTGTGAAGGCAAAGAGGCCTTGAAAAAAAAAAAATTGCAACAGGAGTTATTTGCTATTAAAAGGGCAATTGAATCCACACAAATCCTAAAAAATAAACCTATGTTTGCATTTCTTTTCCATTTTATTCTAAAAATCCACGTCAGATCTGTGCAAAAAAATGTAAATTAATGTAACAAAACAGGGGGAATTAAAAGCATTTCTGTTCCCATGGGTCTGAACAGAACCAAACACATCCCAATTCAGTTTGGCCCCAGCAAAAAGCACAAGTATAGCAAAATAAATAAGCCCTTTTAAACACCCAGGATTAAGGAGTGCTGAAGTTTCCTGTAAGGAAAAACATGGAAGGCCTCTCCAGCTCCTCCAAATCCCTCAGAAATCCACGTCTACCTGTAGCCTGCCTCTGGAATTGGCCAGTTCACATGGGGAGAGTGGAACAAACAGTCAAAAATCCAGTGATGCTGTAAGGAAATTATATATTTGCTTCCAGCTGTTTGAGCCAGAAACTCATTGGTGACTAATTTTTCTTATGGGATTCTTTTTGGAAGCATCTCAGCTTCCAAAACTTGCTCCTTTTGTTCTGGATTTATCAGCCCACAATTCCCTTTGGTGTGTGTAGCACCAGCAGTGAGTAATCCCTGAGTTATTCTGGAGCAGGGAATAACCATTCCCTAATTTACCTTCAGCCCACGTGAAGTTTGACACACCTTGGCCACATTCCATCTCTTCCAAAAGCTTCCAGAGAGCTGGATTTAACCTACAACTGGACTTGTCTCCTACCTTAATAATTAATCTTTAATTTAATCCACCTCTTCCACACCCTTTAAACTTCTCCTTTACCTCTTTGAGAGCACAAAGACTTTAAAGGCCAGGCTGGAGCAACCTGGGCTAGTGAAAGGTGTGATGATCCTTAAGGTCCCTTCCCACCCAAACCATTCCATGCTCCAGCCCATTTCAGCCCTTCCCACAGAAGTGTTTAGGGAAAAGCTCTGCTGGGAACAGCTCTGCTCGTTCTGGAATGTTCTTTCAGCTCTTCATCCAAGAGAAATCCCCCTACAAACCCTCACAGAATAAAACAACATGCCTGGAGACACTTTCTGATGAAAACAGAGAGGGAACAAATCCCTTCCAGAGCTTTGCATCAGCTCTTATCCCAGGACTGCCTTAAAACCTCTGGAAAGGCCCTGCCTCCTGAGCTTCCAGAGGCAGTTCCTAGGTTTGGAACTCCTTCCAAAGTGTCTCACAGCCCTCATTCCTTTTTCCAGTCGGGCCTGTTGCACTTCAGCCCCTGTTCTCCTGAGCTGAATCTCCAGCAGCTCATTCCCAAGAGGAATGTTCAACCCATCAGGCACAACTCCAGGAGACACCCCCACCCATCACTCCAGGGAAGCACTTCAGTGCCAAATCCTCCCTCGCTCCTTATTTCTGGAGCCTCCAAGCACTGCTGCTGGCAGCCTCCTTCCCTTGGATCCACACAGGAATATGGATTAGAAGGAATTCTGGAGGAGGTCTCTGGTCCAAAGCAGGGCCAGCTCAGAGCACACCGTGTGCCACTGCCAAGGCTGGAATAAATCCATGGCAGGTGATCCCAAATCCATGAAAGGGAGCCCCAAAGCTCTACAATAAATCCAGGAAGGAGATCCCATACCCTTCTAATAAATCCATGACCAGAGAACCCAAAAAATCCCTCTAGTAAATTTATAAAAGGAAATCCCCAAATCCCTCTGAGAAATCCATCACAGGAGATCCCAAAATCCCCCCAATAAACCCAGGACAGAAGATCCCAAAATCCCTCCAATAAACCCAGGACAGAAGGTCCCAAAATCCCTCCAATAAACCCAGGATAGAAGGTCCCAAAATCCCTCCAATAAACCCACAACAGGAGATCCCAAACCCATGACAGGAGGTGACAAAACCCAT